AAATCGCATCTAGAGGCTTCGGCTAAAGACGGGTGAGTTGGGTCGGGGAAATTTGTACTTTGCATGTATTCTCGTGCGTGTGATGGTTCTTTATGATTTAATAAATAAACGACACCAACCTGATTGCGGGATTAAAAAAAAAAAAAAAAAAAATAATTATAATATATTAAATTGTATTTAAGCTATAACGGAAAAAAAATTATAGATTATATAATTTCAATCCTAAATTATTATTAAGTATAATAATCAATTATAAAAAAAAAAGTTATTTATTTATTAATATTTTGTTGGTCATCTATTAGCAATAATACAAGCATTAATTCGTGAAGACATACTTTCAACTAATTTTTGATAATATTCAGAAGGTATTTTTTTCCAAGTATTTTTAATATAATTTTCTAATTCTTCAAGATTTTTGAGTAAATTTTTGTTTTTATAAATTAATATTTTAAGTTTATACCAAAGATTTTCTATAGGATTTAAATCCAAACTTTGTGCTAGCCAAGAATGTGTTTGAATATTATTATTTTTATAAATTTTTTGTGCAACTTTAGAATAATGAGAACTAGTATTATCTTCTTGAAAAATTCCATCACCATATAAAAAAAATTTATTAAGAGTAGGAAATGCAAATTGAAGTATATTAATATGTGAAATATCAGTTATGTAATCTTTAAGTGAAATTATTGGACCTAAACCATTTCATGAAAAACATCATCAAAATATACAACCAGAACTATATTTGACAGTAGTTGATAAACAAGTAAGTTCAAATTTTTTATGTGCTTTACGCCAAATTTGACTAATATGATGTTGTTGAAATTAAGTAAATGTAGATTCATCTGAAAACAAAACTTTTTTCCAATATTCAATAGACAAATGTTAATATGCAAGTGCCCATTTATAACGTCTTTCTTGATTAATATTTGAAATTAATAGCTTTTTGCATGCAATATAAGAGTAGAGACCAATAAGCTTCAAATTATGTTATAAGGTTCTGATTGAAATATTTTTTCCAGTTTTTGTGTTCCAAATTATTTGCAATTGTTTGATACAAAAATGGTGATTTTGACTATCAGTAACAAAATTTTTTAACTCTTTGTGTGCAGTTGTATCAAGAATTTTTGGTCTTCCTGGACATTTGTTTAGTGAAACAGAACCATTTTTTTTCTATCGTGTTATAACTCCATAAATACAACTTTTGGAATAGCCTATATCTGTAGTAATCTTTCTTATTAAATTTCCAGCTTGATGTTTATCTATTATAATATTTTGTTTTTCAAGAAAAAGTTATTTACCCATAAAGAAAAAATTATTGCTATCCAAATATTTATATAGTTATTGAGTTCATATTCAAAATTAAAAAAAATTAAGTAATTTTAAAAAGCAAAAACTAAGATAATTTATTAAATTAAAAAAAATTTTTTTTAATATAATAGTGAAATTTATCTATATTACATCTTATATAGTATTACTATATATAATAAAGATTAATAATACAATTACTTATATGATAATAGTAATACTATTGTTATTTAAATTTAGATATTTAATAATAATTGAAAAAAAAATATAAATAAGACTAATTATAATACAAGAAATATTTTGGATTAAATATATTACACTAGTTGTTTTACTTAACTAAAGTAAAATATTACTTCCAAAAGTAGCCAAGTTACTGTTCAAAATAAATAATATTATTTTTGATATATTACTTAAATTATATTTTATTATTGTAATTATTAATGTTTTTGTTAATATGATGATTGTTTTATTTGTTATAATATAATTTTGTTTTAATTATTACTGTTAAAATAAGTTTTATTTATATTAATTATTATAAAATATATTAATTATAAGTTTGTTTTAATAACTTGTGGATTTATAGTGTAGTGATTAATACTTCACAGGTCAAATCACAAGATACCAGTTCAACCCCATGTGAAAGCAGTTGAATAGAATTAATATAATATCTGGCGCCATAACCTGTATAAGCGCTATTTCTCATAAGAAGCTGTATTACACACTAATCCAATGAGTGTTGAGATTGTGATTTTCCAGAAAAGATGTTGTAGCGTGACGATTGTCTGGTTGATGTTATGATGATCACTGGAAGTTGTAAGGTGTATAAGGTATTCGCTTTCAATAAAAATAACTTAGTGATCGTTTGCCCGTAGTATCTGGTGTCTCTTCTTGCAAGTTTCCAAAAAGGCCTTATTCCAATCCAATAATAGATTGCTTCGACAGTTACCTATTCCAAGAAGGTAACCAAAACAGCAGTAAGTACTGATGGCTGAAACAATCTATGGACCATAAATCTGTAAGATAAGTTCCTTAAACATTCTTGGGTAGCTTTAAGAAGATGAAAATTAAATGGTACACCCATCTGCAGAAGGTCGGGTTTAGAAGGATTCTTTCTGCAGTAGTTCTATTTGCCAAAAATAGGTACTACCCCCAATTCCCCACATTCAAACTTCACCTTAAAAATTCCATAGTGCCAAATAGAACATCACAATATAATAATAACACTAATGGGGCTTTGGCATATTAGCCTCAGCACAACCCCTCTGGGGTGACATTAACAGCAACAAGCCGATATGAAGTAAAATTAATATAGTCTAGCAATGCGTAGAATTGTTTATAGATAGTAGTTCCTGTAATACATGAAATACATATGTGAATAAAATAATAAAGTATACTAGGCAAGACCTAGCTGGTTAAATACAAAAAAAAAAAAAAAAGGTTTGTTTTAATATTTGATAATGTTTAATTGATTAAGTTGAAAGTATAGATCAATTAATAAAAATAAACTAATTTTGATTTTTTATAACACAATAAGCAATAATAAAAAATAAATATTATATATATTACTAATGTCTTAAACAATTTTAAAATAAAGTTTAATTTTTTGAATTAAAAAATAACTTTCTAGAAAAAAAATATATTTGTTAAAAAATAAAAATAAAAAGAATTCCAAGAAAAATTTATAATAAAACAACTGTTATAAGTCTTTTTTAATATAATTTAAAGAAAAAACAAGATTTTTAAACTTGCTTTTTCTTAATTAAAAATTCTATTTTGATACATTAGTATATATTTTTTTGCTTTTTTAAGACTCTTGTAATAAAAATAAGAGAGATATATAAGACTTTTAAAAGTTTAAAGATAAAGAAAATATTTGTTTTTTTAATTTTAAAAAAAAATTACTATAAAAAAAATTTTTAAAAAAAATGTTATTTATAGAAAAGAGTTTTTTTTAAAATTAAAATATCAAATTATTTTACTTATTTTATATATTTTTGGATATTACAATGAATCTTCTCTAAATGCATACCTCTCAGAACCATAGAAAAATTTTTGAAAAATGTGTATTTATAGAGGGTGTGCATTTATGGAGGTAATTTTATTAAGAGTTCTATGTACTTGGGACCAAACTTGACCATGCATTTAGAAAGAGAAAATATAGTAAGTGCATTTATAAAGGGTGTATTTAGGAAGGTCTCTCTGTATATAATTAATAATTATAATATAATAACAAATATTTTTAATAATATATTATATATACTATATATATTTGTTGAAATATATTGTTTACATGTTTAAAATTTCATATAAATTATTTTTGTTCTGAAAGAATTATTTATATTTATATTATATAAATAAATTTCAAAAAGTTCTGTTACATATTGTATATATGTTTATTTTTTAAAAAAAATTTTTTTTGTATTTAATTTGAAGTAAACAAATTTATTTTATTAAATATAATTTTTAAAAAATATATTTAGCCCGTTGACGATAAATTATTCTCATTACAGTTATTTTGAAAATCATAATTTCAAATGTTTGCAAAATTTTCTTAAATTTATTGTTTAACAGAAAATTTTAAAATAGAAAAAATTTTTTTTTGATAAATGGAAAAATTATAATAAATAGGATAAAATAGTTTAGACAAGAATAATAATAAATTAATAAATTAATTAAATTAAATATAGGATATTGGTTTATTGAAGTGGTGTTTTATTTTTTAAAAAAACCAAATTAAGCAGTTCATAAAAAATTAGCAATCCAGATTAAAATGGATTAAACGGAGTCAGGAATTTTTTCCGCTCAAGTTGTTGGAATATTTGAAATTGGAAATGGACAAAAAATTTTTTTTCTTAAATTTATGATAGTATGTATTATAATTAAAGGAAAAAAAATCGGAACCATGCAGTCAACTCTTACTATTGGAAAAGGTATTCTTTAATTGCGTTAATACTTACATGTTAAGATTATGTCATCAAAAATCAAAAATTTATGATTATATATATATATATACAATTCCTATATTTCTACAATGAATGCGCACTCAATTCCGAAATAGAATGATTAAAAAATACATGCAAGTGAGATTCCGAAAATTGCATTTTACAAATACAATTTGACTATAAATTGTGGAAGCGAGGATGAAAAGATGCGAATGATTTAAAATCGTTCATTTAGGAATAGAATGGAAACTAAGCAATAATTATTTTGTGGATGAAATTGTCCGTTAAGAGAAAAACAAATTATAATAAACTCTGACTATACATTCTAATAAAAAATCAAATGTTGATAAATAAGGTTCGTCAACCCATAAATGGTTCGTCTAAACAAATCTAGGTTTTGCTTTATTTCTAATCCCTCCAACTGGTACCGAACTTTTATATTTGACCGATTTACCGTTTGCATTAGCAGCAGCACTAGAGCTGATGCTACCATTAGTAGATGGTGTTGCATTTGCACTATGTATAGAATTAGCATTTTTTGATTCATCGGCGCCTGTCTTAGCCACAGACCCCGTTTTTGTGGTGAGCTTCTCTTCAAACATCTTTAACAATTGATCAGAATACTTTTCCAAAAGATTTTGCGTAACACCTTCGGGTAAATAGTGAGCTGACACTGGTGGTGGTGGTGATAAGAAGGCGGTTGAGGAACTTTTATGAGGATCAGCTGATGATCCACTCCCATTGACCGTAGGACTGTGCGTGGTAATTGCAGTATTGTAAGAGTTATTTGACTCTATATCTCCTTCATCGTCGTTTTCAACGTCAATACTCTTCCTTATATCATCCATCATATTCAATAAACTACCAGATATCAATTTTGTCATGCTTTCATTGTTCGATGATGCAGCCTTCTTGTATGCAAGAAGTGTTCTCTCCAGGATTACGGTCATGGTTAGCACGTCATCCATGACACCATCTTCGTTTATTTGATCATCGGAGGCGGAGGTACCAACAGTGCTACTCCGGGTTACAGGAGCTGTTAACGAAATTTAGGTTATTAAAATTTTTTGATATTGATGTGGATTCAAATAAATTTCAAAAATTACCATCGTCGTCGATTCTATTATCGGTTTTTTTGCTCTTGTACTCATCGGAAATTACAATACTCAACCCATTACTTTTATCCTCAAAGCTTTTTACGTGAGCTTCATCAATTATTAATATAGGAGACTTAGTGCCTTCTTCAGGTGATTTTGAATTTTCGCTAGCCTTGCTCGTTTGGCCAACCACGAGATCATCTTCATTAACAACTTTCATCTCTTGACTTTCCGCAGTCAAATTCTTTCCTTCTAAAGCTTTCAAAGCCTTTTCCACTTCATCTTGACCATCCCCAGGTTGCAAATCTTTCCGGGTACGCTCGCCTGATTCTTCTTCGAGCGTTAATGAGTCTAACAAGCCATTACGACCGGTAGATTCTAGAGATTTTCTTTGACTAACAGAATAAAACTTTGTGGTTAGACTCTGCCTTTTCCTTCCACGATGCTCCACAGCCATATAATCATCACTTTCTTCGGCGGCGGATATATTTTCATCTACACTCGGTTTCACATGAGTTGTCAAGAACATTTCTAATTTCTGTGTGCTCTCCTCAGCACTTTCTGCCTCATCTTCGTCATTCTCATTTTCATTCTCATTCTCATCGATATTTCCGTCGGCATCGCCTTCTTTTTCGCTTCCAGACGGTGATTTCGGACGATCCCCTGCAAATTCCACTGTTTTAATGCTTTCCACAAAACTACTCCGTCGTCGTTTTGTGATCGGCACATTTTCACCATCCAACAAAAACTCCTCAGGTTCTTCCTCTCCTTGGGATTCAACATATATGGTTTCCGCATCCTCGTTAGAGTCTTCTTCAGGTGAATTCCCATCGTCCACCTCCTCTTCATCAACTTCATCGCCGATATTTGGGGGGCGATCTGATGTCAACAGCGATTCTCCAAATGAGGCGTTATCAGATGATGATTCAAATCCTTGATCGTCGTATTCCGTTCCTAAAAATGACTTGGTTGAATCCTGTCGCAGTTTACTTTTTGATTTAACCTTACTGATCGATTTCTTCACGACTGGTGATTTCTTTTCCGCAATTTCATGCGTGGGTTTAGCATTCGACTCGATATCATCTGTACTCATTTCCAAATCCTCTCTATCTTTCCTTTCACCATCTTTCTCCTTAAAGGCTTTTTTCGCCCAACTGGGAAAACCAATCTTCCAGGATTCCCTTTTCCCCGAGTTCGATGTTGGCGTATTGGGCGGGGTAGCTATTGATGTATCAAGTGGAGTTCCCACCGGACTAATTGGAGGAGGGGATCTCACCGTGGGAATTCGAGTCTGTGAGAGATCTGGCACAGACTTGGTTATTTGTAACTGAGGCCTATTCTGCGATGTTCCATCATTGGTAAATGAAACAGGCCTCTTCAATGCAGGCGAAACTTTTCTTGCGTTATCCTCAGTTTGCGTGTCCATCGACGAATATGATTTCTTCGTTTTTAACCCACCCGAACCCCGACGAACATAAAATTCCTGGTCCTGTCCATTTGCCTCATCAATTTGTTGGAGGTCAAACATAAGTGATTGTGGCTTTTGAGCTGGCAACGTTGTTTTTGGTTGAGTCGTTGGTGGGATTGACGACTGTGGTGAAAGGTAGTCCTTTGTCATAGACGGTGACCCATTCCTTTCCAACCATTTTTGGCGCATTTTTGAAACCAACTCGTCTGACAACTTCCAGACAAACATACAGCCATCGGCTGATGTCGAAATCACTCGTTCACAATCAGGAGTAAATTTCACACAAGTAATTAAATCCGAGTGTCCCAGGACTTTTCCTAATATTGTCCCATTGGTAAAATCAAATAAGCGAATGCTCTTATCCGAACCTCCGGTCGCAGCACATGCCCCACCAGGATCCAGTGAAATTCTTAGCAAGCTCCCTTGATCTACAGCGTTAACTTCATCTGATGTTTCTGACTTATAGGATTTCACGTTCTTGCCGGAGTCAATGTGATAGATATTCAAGCGACGTTCTCCAGATACCGTGGACACGTATCGATTCGATATGTCGATGTCCATATCAAACACGGTCGCTCTGCCCGGTATATTATGATGGGTCACATAATGATGAGAGTTTCCGGACTGCAAAGTTATCAAAAAATATAATAATAATAATAATAATAATTGAATCATGATATTTCGCGGTTCGATGATAATAATGTTCTATACAAATTTTGCATACACTCTGTCGACTTCTGAATATTATACTTTTATCGGCACCACAACTAATCAATCTTCCACCGTCGCTGGTAAACTTGATGGCCGTTATTGAAGAGGAATGATCATCCAACGTCTGAATCAAATGATAATTATTATTAATGTCAAAGACGTGTAGTATTCTGTCTCGACTTGCTGTGGCAATCAAATATGGAGCATCTGAGAAAGCAAATGTTTCATCACATATTTACGCTTGATGTAACCAAACGACAGCGTGATCGATGAGAAAATTTCGCTAACCTGGAATGCGTCCATCTGTAAACTCGATCGTCAGTATCTCTGCATCGTGTGCCTCCTGGTATGTGAGCTCGGTGAAGGTGTCAAGATCATGTACCCTATATACATTTAAGAAGTGTAGTGAGGAACCAACGGTTTATAAATTGATTATCCATATATTGTATATATGATTGAATATATAATATATAGTCAACTATATGTGTGTACCTCAAGTTTCCTCCACGATCCCCGGATGCTATTAACTTTCCATCTGGACTGATTCTCAGGGTACGGATGCCCGTTTCTATCGGTGCTGATTGGTCGGCAGAATCTGGTGACAAGAAAAACACAAAAAAAAAAACGACGGATTTCTGGTCAAAACATATTTTTTTCCTCGAACACTCTTGTAAGAAAAAAAAGTTTTTTTCCTCACCAGGCTGATCATTATCTCTGACCACAGCACTTGACCTGTACGAGCCGTCCGGATCAACGTAAACAATTTTGACGCATTCCTTGCTGTAAATGTTTCTCTTGATAACAGTGGACGTTCCATTATTGTTGCCAGCGGACGCGGTATTTGGTCCTGTGGAATTAGTGCCATCTAAATTCCAAAATCTTATGGTGTTATCCGCCGAATAGGTGACAAAAGTGTTATCAGGATATGTGACCGCGACTGAATCGTCTCGAATTGGTATCATCTGCAATTGAGCGTACGTTCGTTTAATGAACTCATCGAGAACCACATCGATTCGGGCCTAACATTCCTTACCTCCACTCCCCATATGGTGTCACTATGATAGAGGAAACTCCTATACTTTCCTATCTTCTTTATATCCTTTATATCCCATATAAAAAGACTACGATCGTTATATACGCAGGTCAGTTTTCCGGTTTCCGCGTCCAACTTTAAGGCCAACGTATCGGGGTACACATCATTGGGTCCACCGGCCCCATTATATGTCGTTCCCGTTTGCAAAGTCAGATCAACGCCCAAAGGATGCGGTTTCGGTAGGGTACCCAAATATTTCAGTGTGACCGGCTCGAACAGTCTGACTATCCCATTTGTGCATGCACAAACGATGTATTGCTCGCTCACATCAATTGAATGGGCGCCTTTGACCTTTAGATGCAATCGTGCGACATACATGAATGAAATTTAGTCAAGGTGATGATGGATGGTGAATCTCTTCCCCCCCCCCCCCAAAATCCGTGAACACGAACCTGCAAATTAACCCATTTGTCCATCAACCTCCCTTCCGTGAACATGCATAGCAATCCATTGGATGTTACCAAATACGTGTGATCCGTTTTCTGACAACACGCAGCGTCGAGGAAATTATTATCTCTTAAATCACCCAGAATCCCAGATCGCCCATCCAGAACTTGCGCGGTTTTCGTTATTGATTGACTCTATGAGGGGAGAGGGGAGAGGAGAAAGGTTGGTGGGCCGAAAAAGGAGCGATGTATCGAAGAGTTGAATGAAAAACTCGAGACAATATACTCACCGCAGATTTCTTTGGTAAATTTCCGCTCGGGTCAAAATACCAAAATTTTACGTGTCTTAATCCGGCCGTCACAAAGTAAGAGCCATTCCGGCTAAATGCTAACGTATGAACTTTTGTAGTAATCTTGTTGCACGCAACTTTTGTACCACTTTTCCAATTCCAAACGTTGAGGTAACCATCGTGCTAATTTGGATGACAGAAATAGAATTTAGAAACGGCCTTCGTAAAATTCAACCTGTCATCAAAAAAAGGAAACATACTTGGAAACCTAGAGAGACGATCCATTTCATGTTTGGAGAAAATCGGAGAGCCAAGACGCCGAATTTATGACCTTTGAGTTCGGAAATCAGGGTCCTGGCTTGCACATCCCACACTAGGATACGAGGTTGGTGACCGGTCTTCGCGTGTGCATAGAAGGAAATTTTAGGATTACCGTGGTTATGAACATACTTTTCGGCCCAGATAAAAGAAAAAAAAAAACACGTTACCTCGCCAACGGCCAAGTAATTGCCATCAGGAGAAAAGGAAAGACACGATATCGGTTTGGCCTTGTTGCTGATGGGCGTTTTCTTGGAACTACCAGCGGCACTTCCAGAACTGGCGTTTTGTGGATCCAATAAACCAAGTGCTCCTAGAGGATTTAGAATACCATCACCGGCAATTGTATGTCGATTTGACCAGCCAGATGAAGACGCATTTGTAGGATTTTGTGGTAAGGGAGTTGTGGTGGAAGACGCGTGTAGGAAACCAACTTGCTTGTTTTTCTTGTGATTGTAGAGTACAACCACCGAACCAGCTGCGTAGGCCACAAGGTCTTGTGCAGGAGCCGTGGTCAGTACCGTCGGCTTTGAGGTGGTGAAGCCGAGGATGCGTTCGAGTTCGATCTATAGAAATTTAAACGAGGACGTTTTTGTAAGCCGCTCAATATATATGTGATCGAATGATCAATTGATCGTTGATTGTTATCATAGATGATTATTGTCTTTTTAGATAATTTAGCACTCTCATGATAAAAGATCCAATGCAAGAAAAGAACACTAACAGCGGGTGTCACATTTTCGCCTTTTTTCTTACGTCGTAGACGTGGATAAACGGCAACGGTGGCAGGCCTTGAAGATTTCGGAGTGAACATCGTCTCCAGACTTTTTCTGGTGTTTCTGATGGAGGTCGTAATTGGGTGATATGGAGATAAGTGGATGAAGCACAACTCACACGATGCGTATTTAAGTGTTAGATGAGTGAAATTACCTGTCAAGAACTACTTTTACTTTTCAATCGAATGTTCAAGAGGAATTTATCTAGTTGTGACCCTCTTGGTAGCCGAATTTTTTTTTTTCTCGTATGACTCGGCGATTTTGTTTTTTTTTTACAATTTCACAGAGTAACAGCAGACTTGTTTATATAATTATTTTTGTCAATACGAAAGAGCACGTGTAATCTAGGTATTAGGTGGTGTGTTGAAACAAAGGCAGAAAAAAAAAAAAGTGAGACGCTCGGGAGAAGAAGAAAAAAAAAAACTTGAACTGGAGGGTAGAACGGTAAGAAAAGAATTTTAAATATCGGGTTGGAACAAGGTAAATGGAAATGATGTTAGTATGAGTCGAGAGTCGAGGAAAAGTGTAAATTATATGAAAACGGAGGGAAATTTTTTTGCTAGGAGAAAGAAAAAAATTGAGTGGCGATGTCGAAATTTGGGCGTTATGTAATAGTTTATTTTCCAGTATGCAGTACCCTAGTGTCCATATATAAACTTGTCAGGTCTTGAAATGGGAAGAATCTTCACTTCAAGTATTTAGGCATAGATATATAAGGAGTGGCTGGAACCATATATACAGGAGATCGAAAAATTTGGACAGGTGAATAGTTTTTTTTGGATTGAGTTTTGATGTCGGTTGAATATTTAAAATGCCGCAAAGCTCTATTACACAACATCTACAAGAAAAAAAAAAGAAAAAAGACGTATGACAATTGATGACAATAGCAAATAAATAATCAGAAAAAAAAAACCATAAAGACTCTAACCAGCCCAGTAGTAGTAATTCATGCAGAATTTCAAAAACGATGCAATGAATGATAATAATAATTAATGAATTTATTAAAAAAAAAAAAAAAATCTATATAACATCTTTTTACCAATTTTTGATGATCTGTGAAGGGTCCTCCCTCCTCTCTGAATTTTTGTTAACTGTGCATATGCAAATTTTGCGAATTCAGCTTTAACTAACTGCATACATTGTTGAGCAATTCACACGCATTGAATGTCAATCCACACAAAAATTTTATTGATTTTCTGAATTACATATGCATAAATAGCAAAGTACCAATCGTTAGGTGATTCCGCTTTCGAACCAATCATTTGAGTCAGTATTGTAATGATGGCAGTGCGTAAAAAGCTAGACTGACCCTTTTTCTTCATCAAATATTTAGAAGGATTTTGTGTCTGTTATGATGATCTCCCGAAACAAACAATTTGCAAACTGGACAAATTCGAAAATGAAAACAATGTTAAAAAAAGAGAGACGATCTTTCCATATGTGATTCAAGAATTCGTTCGAGTTCAAGTGAATTCCCTACGTGTGACATATAGACCCAGACGTGGAGACGTTTGTTGGTTTTGATTTGTTTTCTTTTTTTAATTTTTAAAATTAAGGCTTTCGATTTTTTTGTAAATAGATCATCATAATGTTAGTAGTAGTAATGATCAGGTTCATCCATCACTCGCACACCATCACCATTATTATTCCTGATAAAAAAAATTCATCGGATTCTTTTTTTTTTTTTAAAGGAATCCATCAATCGATGAATTTCGAAAATTGACAAAGTTCAGTTCTTCTGATTTCACATACGACACTCTTAATCGTGTTTAAGGATGCCGAACAATAAGTCGCATCAGGCAAGACGTGGATCAGCAAAAAACAATGACAAAGAGATAAAATGGGTTAGATCCCCGCGTTTATGATGATTAAAGGTCACCTGTTTAGCGTTGTCCGTTCAGTAGATTGATATGGACATTTCTTTAATTTCGTCTACCGGCTACAAGCTTGTACTGGAACGTAATTGTATAAACCCAAATCGTGTGTTCTTGAGTAACCATCAAAACTTTTTTCGAACAGGGCGTCGTCCAATAATTCGAAAGGTTTTTGTGTATTACGTAATGTGATGCTAAGTCATTGGAAGATGATGATTAACATTTTTCCTACGTAAATGCAAAGTGATCAATCTTTTTTTGTGCAATTGATCTAACATATCATTGGGGTACAAGGAACTTGCATTTACAGTACATGCGTATGTACGTAGGTGCAGAGACTACGATGTAAAAAATTCTTCAATTTACTCATGAACTCATGCACTATACTCATGCTTCGTCGCTCCTCATCGTACAAAGTACGTAAGCATATGCTGCTTGGGGAAAACCATCCGCTCCTTTCGTGTAAACTTAATTTTTCTATCGCATGACAAATTTTAATCTCGTGCATTATTATTATGTCACATGAGCGGACGTTCGGAATTTCGGATCACACTTCTGGCCAACTCAATCATCCCATTTGAAAAGAAATTAACGACATATGCACCTAATTAATTACACGTTAATAAAAATAAAATTTGGCATTAATTAATAAGTTCAAAAACATATGGATCGATGAACGTCGTGTGATTAATAAAAGAGTAAACAAATGGGCTTGTCGAGGGGTGGAGTCTTGCATCAAAAAACTTCAAATTAAATACGGTATGCAATGTATGCGCGTACAAATAATTTTGAGTGTAGGAAATAAGAAATAAACAGAACATTATGTAATATCTCAAAACCCTTAACAAAATTTCAAAACAGAAATTTCGTAAGGAAATAGACCAATGGACTTTAAATCAAATCTGACTTGGGAGATTTGATGATTACACATACCGGTTGATATTAATAATATTTGGTCAAAATAATAAGAAAATATAATATAATAATATAATAATATACATGTCTATAGTTTGATCATTATATGTAGTATATAATAATAATAATAAAATTTATATTATTATTATTAGGTTGAAATAATTAAAGTATTTTTAATTTAAAATATTTGTTAATAATTTAAAGCTTAAATATTTGTAATTTAATCTACTACATACTGTAAATTATAATTTGCAAATTATCTTTAAAGGTCCAACTACAGTATATGACATAATTTTCATGTTATGGATCTTAGTGATTTTTCATTCAAATATTACTCCCTCTTTTATCATTGAATATTAAATGTTTTTGTAAAGATACCTTGCGCATACAATTTAACCAATTATTTTCATTATCATGTTATAAATTGTTTATGGTTTTTTAAATAATTGAATTTTTTTTTTTTTTTTATTGAAACAATTTTTCTTTTTAACAAAAAATTTTTTTTTCAAAAAAATCATAATGCAACATCTCATTATCAAATATCTGTTTCTTGTAATTATAAAATATATATATATATACGGATATATTAAAAATTCGAATGATTAATATATCACATACTCTTAGTAATCATCAAGTCAACAAGTATCAATGTTCTTCTTACCTCGTAAAGAATTGATACTTGCTGATAATAAAAAAAAAAAAAGTAAATTGATTCATTCGACATCTTTCCGTTTCACGAAATGTCATCTTGTGGATTCACTCATCCATATCAGATGCTAAATCATAAATTCGCCCAGAATGCTGGAATAGAAGATATCCATCAGTAGTCAGAATCGCATTCTGTGACAAGATTCAAAATTTCCTCAGTAAAATTATAAAATATTTCGTCATTTAGTCTTGCGGCGTCTAACAATTCCTCGACCTTTGATCCCCTTGCTGATCTGACTATGTTATACATGATTTCCCTTAACGTATCGTCTCGAAG